GTTTCTAGATGATTGAAGAGTAACCATTTACTTAGTATTGAAGCTGAAGATAAATAGAGTACATACAATTCTGTCTTATCTCGGAATTGCAACATGCTTCAACTGTAACATAAAGATTGGTTGGGTTAGTACTATTTCGAAATCTGAATCGTTATCTCTAAATTTGGAAAATTGCAATGGTTATGTGTAGGAGACTACCTGCTAGCTACTTGCCTGCAGAACTTGGGTGGGCTTCGCAACAACGCTGTCACCGAGCTCATCTCTACAGGGTTACGTGATTTGGTCGAGGGGGACTTCTTAGGCGAACATGATGCCGTGAACAATCCCTTACCGACGAAACCGAAGGGTAAGGATATTGGAAATCAGCATTGAAATTGTCGGTGACACGGGTAGATGGATGAGAACTTATAACTTAATTATTTTACCTTTGTTCACCTCACAAAATTAATGGCATTAAGTTTCATAATGGCGTTATTTACATGTAGCTGCCAACCTATTACATTACATTTTCTTATATTTCAGGCAAAAGTGACGTCAGACATTATGAATGGGAATCAGAAGATAACTTATGCAAGCTCGGTTCAAATGAATATCTCGGACAAGGCAAAGACGAGTGGATACTCCGCACTATGCTTTCCTCGGGCAGTATTCTCGGCAAAGGTTGTCAAGGAGCCATGAAGCTGGCACAGAGAGGGGAACAGATGGAAAGAGATGCATATATCCTTGGCGGACACTTAGCTTTGATTTGGCAGCTGCATCTTGACGTGAAAGACTTCTTCACGCATCCATATTCGTACTCTTTGGTCGGAGCTCCTGTTATTTGGGCGATGTGGGAATATCCCCAGCTTTATGGCCATATATTTGAGCATAGAGTAGAGGGCGTTCCATTGGAGTACAAACAGCTTTACTATGCCGTACGGAGTACAAGGGCGGTGGATTATTTAACACTATTCTTGAATGAGGAGTTTGATGCTGTCATGCGGTACAGTGACAAGTTTCCAGTGAAGGATGCGAGGTGCGCTCTCCAGAAAATGGCTATGACTATACATGTTGAGACTTTAGAATACATAGAGAAATAAAAGGTTAAATTAGTATGATTTTTTTATTTATAGCTTTTTTATTCATGAACACTTTAGCAATCATTTTTCACATCTTCATTTCTGGAACTGCTTCCTGTGATTGCTTTATTTTTAAAAGAACTACTGCATCCGTAATGAAATTAAATTTACATTATACCTACCTAACGTTTTTTCAACGAGGAACCAAATTAACAAGTTTGTTCAGTAGCGAATTATTCTTAAGGCAAAACTAGGTTGGTGCCGGTGCGCAACATTACAAAAGGGCGCGAAATTCGAAGATCTTTGTCCATCCGACCTCTCTTCTGCGGCTCTGCAGTTGATATTGTTAAATTTTTCGCAGATTATTTGTAATGTTTATTGATACGGATTTTTTTCCATAATAGGCGGACGTCTTCTGTAAGTTATTAATGAAATGATAGGCTTTTAATAAGTAGCTTTTGAGGTAAATATTATTTATCATATTCTTAAAGATTGAGGTTGTTTTTTTTAGTTCTTATTTCATGCTTTTTAGTGATATTGTTTTTTTTTTATATAACAGGTAACAATAAAAATATTAAATATCTATATAAATAAAAATATTCAACATAGTGAAAGTCTTCTTTCATCTATAGGAAGCTACTTAATATGCGATGGACATAGGCTATAATTTAAGAAGACGAAGTCGCCGGGAAACAGCTATTTTGATAGAAATTGGTTTACAATTCAATAAGTAATCGATTAACATACCTACTTTCATAAAAACTCCTTGAAGATAGAAAATTCACTTTTCAGATTTTGAATGAATTCTAAATACGCAATCTTAAGTTTTTTAGCAGAAGTGGTCCGTATCTTACCATACCAACGAAATATTAGGCTGATGTTTATATCTGTTTTTTTTTTATATATAGTTTTTTTCAATACAACGATGTCAAAAGTAGAATCTGTCGAAAGTAGAATATGTCCAGAGTAGACCAAAGGGCCTGTTTCAATTTTGTTAAACAATTTAAAAAAAGGTGATTTTGTCTTGACAGATGGAGTAAATTGTCAAAGTAGGTGTCAATATGAGATTGTATTTCCGGTGTCTGTGTGATTTAGCGTGGATGATGGATGTATTCAAATCGCACGCATCCCTATTTATTGGGAGTATATAGTATGAAAATTCATAAATGCCTTTCTTTGGGAATTGTGGAGGAACAGGATTCCGTTTTTGTTTTATATATATATATATACAACGTGTCCCAAAATTCAACGATAAGTGGGCACCAAGAGGTAGACCTGCTCATGTGTACTTATGGAAAAATAAGAAAAAAATTATATCTTATTAATCTTTTTTATTATAAAATTAAATTCGAAAATTTACACCTTTTATGATATTTTCAACTACCACGACCACAACTTCTCAATTATGTTCAATCTTTTTTTGGTATCGGATACCTAAGTAGTACTAATATTCGCTACAACTGTTAAAAACACCAAAATGCCCACAGTATTTACATAAAAAACAATCAAAATGTATTTTTTTCCTTAAATTTTCACAGATTTTTACGTTTCGTAATCTTTGACTCACAGTCATGTAGAAAAAAAGTATGGACACTACTGCGGCAAGTTGTTTTTAAAATTGACGCAGCTCATGAAGATTCCATAATGGTATTATAATACTTCATGATAACTAGCAACAAACTAAAAATCATACCATTTAGAATCAAGAACCAAAGTTGTGAGTAATAAATTGTACTATTCCGAAATGTTTTAATATTTTAAAAAAATATTGAAATAAAACAATAGTGAGTTTTAGTCTCATTCATTTATTAATAATTAACATTACAGTAAATGTTCAAATTGTTTTCCACCGGCATTAATACATGCACGACATCGCCTTAAAAAAGAGCGTTTTATTTTTCGTGCATACCTTTTAGCATTGATATGTGACGCAGCCTGACTAATTTTTTGCCGAAGCTCGTCCAATGTCGTAATGGGTTTTTCATAGATTTTGTCTTTGAGACAACCCCAATAGAAAAAGTCCAGGGGGTTTAGGTCGGGTGCTCGGGGTGGCCATAAGATAGGACCAAGTCGCCCAATCTAACGCCCGGAATACTCTTGGTTTACAAATGGTGTGCATATTTTTTTACTGTGACTAGTTATCTTAGATTATTATACCATTTTGGAATCTTGATGAGGTCAGTCAATTTTAAAAACAACTTGCCACAGTGGTGTCCATACTTTTTTTTACAAGACCGTAAGTCAAAGATTACGGAACGTAAAAATCTGTGAAAATTTAAGGAAAAAATATATTTTCATTGTTTTTTGTGTAAAAACTGCGGGCATTTTGGTGTTTTTATGTGTTGTAGCGAATAGTAGTGCTACTAAGTATCCGATACCAAAAAAAGATTGAACATAATTGAGAAGTTGTGGTCGTGGTAGTTGAAAATATCATAAAAGGTGTAAATTTTCGAATTTAAATTTATAATAAAAAAGATTAATAAGATATAATTTTTTTCTTATTTTTCCATAAGTACACATGAGCAGGTCTACCTCTTGGCGCCCGCTTATCGTTGAATTTTGGGACACGTTGTATATATAATGATGTCCAATTTTGTCTTAAAAAATGTACTAACGCGTCTAGTGATATATCCATAATACTATGGGCTTATTTCGTTGATCCACCCTGAAACAGCCATCCTTTAGTGGATACTTGGAAACACGTGTTTATCTACCCACCCTGAACTGGGTGGATTTGCAATTGGTATTACATTAATCTAACTTACTGACTCTATGCCGGTCTCGATCAGAAAAAAAGATTATCCACTAGCAAAATACGAACACGCGAATTCGAATACGGAAAAGTAATAGTTCAAAATATTAACGACCAGCATTGACCATAAACCGTACGGAGAGTAAACCTACCTATAGTAACGTACTCGGACGTTACAGTACCTAACATTAAATGATTTATTTTGTTTAATGAAAATGTGATTTTTATAAATACACGATAGAAGCTTTTGTGTATTAGACAATTTTGTTCCACTATACTTGGGGTAAAAAATTGGAAGAACATTCAAAAGTGACTTCCATCTATTCACCCCATTCAAGGTGGATAGATGAACACGCGTTTCCGAGTATCCACCTTAGGGTGGCTGTTTCGGGGTGGATAAACGGAATCAGACGTGCTATGATAACTAACCGAATGCGATTCGGACCCAATGACAGTTTGCTACGTTTCGTTTCATCTGCTACGGAAAAAATATTCATTCAACATAGTGTACAAAAGTTCACAATAACAAATACATTTAGATTTATTTCTGTATTTACAAGTCAAACTATGAAAAAGCTTTGGTTAAATGCATTAATTTTTAAAGTAGCTTCACAATTATTTCTAGTTTCGACAGCTGTAATAACTTATTATTTGTTATTTACAAATTTCCCTGGCCTCCAAATGAAAAAATGCTAAGATATTATTATATTTTAAGTGAAACTAATTAAAATTATCATAAACGGTGGATAGAAAGTGGATATAATTCGTTGTAAAAAAAAACTTTTGTAACAAGAGGTACATATATTATATAAAACACGGAAATAAATTTTAAAATTAGGAACACATTTAATGCTCTGCAACAAATAATATCATTTTCTAAAAATTTTATAACTACACTTAAGAGTGTTTTTTTTTAATTAATTATTGATAATTCATGATCACATTGATTGGTAAAATACAATGTTTGCTAAAGTTTGTTCAGTTTTGTATATTTTACAGAGTACAGAGCAGGGAGGATTTTCTATTTTTTTATGGATAAAGATTAATAAGTCCATGATATGAGTGCTTTTTGTTTCTTTTTTTTGTGAAATTTAAAAATAATGTCAATGATATGAAATCATTATTGTAGTGCATGCCACTATCCACATATACTTATGTGATGATATATATTGTTTTTTTTTTCACCATCAAGGTTATCTCTCTTCGAAGACCAGATGGCCTCCTCGAGCAGAGGTGACACTGCCTTTCTTGCTGAAGTTCTCAAGATAAGACACTATATTTCAATAAAATTAACTAACAAAAAAGGATTCTATCACAATCAACAAGTAATACTAAAATATAACTACAAAGTTTTAACTAAACTTTTAATTGTACTGATGACCTCACTTTCACTTTCACTCAATATTTCTATATAATTGTATACCTTTTTTGCATTTTCTATATACAATAACTTAGTCCGTTCAATGGCATCTGTTTTAACCACATCCATTCGGAACTTCTCTAAATCTATATCATTCAAGTTATTTCTTGCTTCTTCAATTACTGAATACAATTCTGGATTATCATTTAATGCAAATAAAACTGGAGCGCTGACTAAAGAATATGATTCTTTTTTTTGTGATGTAAAATTTTGTAGCTCACTAGCTGCTTGCCATGTTAAGCATAAATGACAACCAAACAAATAAGCCTTTTCTTGCTCCTCTAAAGTCTGTCCAGATAATAATAAAGCTCCTTGACAACCACGTCCAAACAATGAACCACCATTATACATGGTTCGTAATGTCCACTCTCTTATAGGTGATCCCAGTGTATTTCTTACATCTAGGGGCAGTGTATCGCTGCTTATTTGAAATTCATCTGAATCATTCATCACAGGTTTCCCTGGTATTGGCATGTTTTGTGCATCTCGGTCACCAAAGAACTCTCCTTCGCTGATGTCCCTCAGGGCTGTTGAAATTAAATATGACAAATCTTGATTTTTCAACCTAGCCAGCATGCTATTTGCAGTTACTAATAAATAATCACCAATGAGCACTGCAATTTTGTTTGCAAACATTGATGTGTCCATATTTTGTTCCCTCTCTTCCACCGGTACATTGAGAAGACCACAGTGTACATAATGTCCAGTGCGTATCATTTCAGTTAATTCAGCTAGTATCCTCTGATTTTCAGTGACTTGACTGGCTAAAAGGGTTGTATTAGACGGATTGAATGCTTTAGACAGTAGCAGAATTACTAATCCCCAAGGTTGGAGAGTGTTTTGTTCATTGTAAATGATACTTCTAGCAGTTTTTATTATAGGATGGTTACTGTCCACCTGAAACAAAGTAAAATGAAAAACATAAGACAGAGTTCTTTTGAATTTCATACAAATAATCTACAGTTTGTTTGGTCCCGTTTAGTTACAGTTGACAGTATGTAATGATATTATAAAACACTAAATATTGTAGTGATTTTAATTCTTAGAATAGGTTGCACAAATGTCCATTAAGGTTTGATGTCACTTTAAACTAATGACAATTTTAATGGATGTTTGTGCAACTGGCTGTTAATCTGTTAATAGTTAAGATCGTAATGTATAAGAGAAGTTTAGTTATTTTAGGAACCCTTTAAAAAACATAAAGCAGCTTCATGTTCATTTTAACAAGTGAATAGTGTTTTATAGTACATTACATTAATGAGATAATAAAAAACATATTAACTTTTAAAAAGCCTACCTCATTAAAAATTCAAAAGTTAATAAAAGTAGCAAGAACTCGTTGTTATGACGTAAATTAATATTTGTGTGCAGGAAATAACCTTGGTACTTAACCAGTCACATGGCGCTTATTTGTTACATAATTTATGTAAAAAATTCCAAATAAAGCAAGGAGTTACGCCTTGACATCATTTCTACGTAATCAATGGTCATGGTAGTAATTATTATAAGATTTTCAGTGAAAATATTGTAGAGTTTGATTATATAGAAAGGTATTAATCTTACCACTTTTCGTAAATGCATTGCTAGATTGGCAAATTCGTCGCTTAAGAGCCATCGCAGGTTCATAAAGGAGGTTGGATAACCAACTATTTTCTCAGCTTCTTTAATAACTTTTGTCCAATGAGCCAGAGGAGGACGAAAGAGGAAGTCTTTCTGAGTTAAGTTCGTCATGGTTGATTCAACTCTTATTTGTTGAGTAACAAGAGCTGCACGACGCAAATGGCGCATTAGTGTGTACGGCATGATGTGGATATATATATAATGTATTTAATCACGACACTTTCACATTTAATTAACCTTTTGCTTTGTATTTATCAACAGTAAATAGTCGCCAAACCAAGTACCTCGTTCGTACACCTCAGCTGGCCACAGCTCAGTTACTGAGCCAGTGCGATTATGTCATTGTTTTGACTTATTAGTCTTGCGTTTAGGAACTTGAGGGAGAATTCTTTAGTATTTTTTAGTATTATTGGATAGATTGTAAACTATTGTGTGCTACTATTTTTACTTATTTAGTCAATTATATTTAAATATATTGTATGGTAATATAAGATTTTTTATCAATAATACTAATTCGAAACTATATATTTAATATCTCCATTCATTATAGCATTAGACAGAAGTTAAATAAGGTTCTTTTTATGGTATACTTTGTGATAAAATATAAATAATCATATTACTCTTAAGACTGACGGCTAATTGCTACATATCCACTTAAATACCAACTGCTATACTTAACTGTTCTCATTTAAGCTATCTATTAAACAAATTTATGAGTATTTGACCAACTTAAATGATTTAATAACTATTACATTGAAAAGTGTGCATCTTAAAGAACCTAAAGAAGCAGGGTTGGATAGTTTTGGCACAATTCTCATGTCATTAAAACTCTACCAAAGTTAAAAGTTGCCTCATCCTTTCAAACATTTCGGCAGTACAGTTTTTTAATTTTGTCAGACTATAATGTATTCATAATTGTTAAAATACGTAATCTGGGATTGTCATCCGTTGTGAATGCTACTGTCTTTCTTATTGTTTTGCCGTTTTCAGTGACTTAGGTTGTTATTGTTTTATTTTTATTTTGTAATAGTTTTGTTGTTAAGTTTTGTTAAATATCGACGATGCCGGTGCAGGCCCGAGTAGCCTACAACAATTAAGCTCAAATCCCATACCTACCTTCAACCTTTGACATTTCAGGAAGTTTTTCTAATGTCTTCATCTATAGTCTTACTAATGTCTGAATAAATGTTATAATAACAAATTCATTTTGTTTACCTTACATTCCTGGGCACAGATATAACAAAATTCTATTCTACTTATATGCACTTACAATTAGAATTTATCAAAAAAACAGATAAATAGTTTCAGTTCCATGTTGGCTTGAGAATGAAAGATGAATTAAGAAAATGCTGGCCTCATCTCAACCCCGAGGTATCAAATCAAATAGGTAAAAAATGGAAAATTGCCCAGCTCTTTCAGACTATCTAACGTTCAAAGTTTCAACAAAACTATAATATATTTTTTTTATATTCACCTTTGAAATAAAATGTTCTGCACTGCTGCTTCTATGACCCTCTTTTTTCTAATGTTATAATGAATGGAGTATATATATGTGTGAATTAAACTGTATTCGGTAATATTAAGCCATCGTGAACACAATCGTAAACAAGTAGCAAAACAAAAAAAGTAGCGTGTCACGTTCACAGTTGCTATAGCTAGGGAAAACAAAACGGCGTGGGATTAATTAGCATGCTCTTCTTCGTATTTTTCACAAAATAAAGTCTATTAAAAACGTACCAAAATATACACAAAAGAATGGAAACGAGCTTAATTCTAATACGCTAAGGTTTTGAATCTCAAGAATATTTGAATATTGTTATTTCATTCATTCACAAATACAAACGCCTGCATCGGTTCAATCCTATTACGATGCAGTACGGTTTGTGTCCCATATCTACGAGTATAAATATCGGATATCGAGCGAGATACCGAATCTAACGTATCGCATCGGTGCAGCAATATTGTGTTTCGAAAGTTAAATAGTTTCTGTGCGCATCGATGTCGGATATTATGATATTTATATGTATATCGTTTCAATATTTATATACTATTCGTATCGCCCATTTCTAATACACTGTAAAAATACGTATATGACGATTTTAAGAATATGACGTCTGAACGTAAAAACGTCTAGAAATAGTGAAGGGGTTCATAAAACTTTGTATAAATATATGTAACTATACTCTAAGTATATATTTATATAACACAGGTATGTGGAATTTTAACGTTTCTGCCTACCCCGTAAAGGATACGACTTAAAGATATAGACGAATAGATGAATGTACTTAAGAGTATTTAACAAAATTGAAAATTTCTTTTTAGTTTATGTGTTCTAAATTTTATAATTTAAAATTATTTTTGACGCTCATAAACACGCAAAGTTTAATTTCAGGTTCTTTATAAAAAATATATTTATACAATCTATACTCAAAAACATAAACTATATGATTGAATGAATGAATGATAATTTTATTTGCATCAATCAGCAATAAGACATGCTACAATATACATATACACATTGAAATAATTAAATTATAAAAACAAAGAAATAAAATAAAAGCAGAATTCAACAATTATTTAAAACATATATGCCGGGACGATGCAAAAAGGACAAAAGCTCGGCAATATATTTACTTGGAAAGCAAACTGCCGATTTTCAGCTTTGACCTAAGTTTGAATTAGCGGGGAACCAAAGATATTGTGTAAGATTAATGAGTGAGATCATAATTGCATATCATTAAGTCCATATTGAATAAAATAAAATAAAAAATAATAATAAAGAAAAGCGTATAAAATAAATTAATAAATATAAATCTTCTTATATATAAAAATGAATCGCAAAATGTGTTGGTAAGCGCATAACTCAACAACGCCTCGACCAATTTGGCCAAATCTTTTTTTAAAATGTTCGTTGAAGTTCAAGGATGGTTTTTACGGCGAGAAAAATTAGAATTATTGCTGGAAAAACCCTAAAAATAGCCCTTTTCTTTTTCCCATACAAATGATTTGTAACTAAAACGTAGTCAATTTGAGCTTTATTGCTATGGTATAAAGTTCATATTAAATTACAAGCACTCACTGTTGTCTAAGCAATGTAGGTGTGTTCCTAACGTCAAAGATCATATCTATCAAAACAATGTGCGTGTGTGCGTTGGAGCACAGAATACATAGTTGAAGGAGTTTAATGTCGCGTTCCGAAACTCGCGTTTCTTTTGTATTAGTTTCGGCACGCGAGATAAAATGCATCAGTTTCCACGTCATTACATGTATTGCCGGAACATTGATGAAAATACGCTCTGTAGTAGCAAAGCTGTTGGGTCCTAGATAGCTCATTGGTTAGAGCAGTCCCTGGATCGCGAATGGGTTCGAGTCCCATTCCGGGGTACAGGTAGATGGATTCTTCCAGCATTTTTCCTTGAGAATGTTTATATATTTTTTTAATTCGAATAGTTTACTTTTATAATGCTGTTGTGTGTAATGTGTTTTTATGATCATAAAAATCTCTTTTTTCTATATTTAATACTATTACTATTAATACATTGCAATAATAATTATGATTCACATGATTAACAATAAAGCGATTACTTACTTTTAAATCCTTATATATGTTTTATTTAATTATTTTTTATTCACAACGCCCTATCACCAGGGTGACGGTTCTGTTCAGGAGAATTTTTTTAAATACGTAGGCAAAAAAACTGCCACATTACAAATCTTTTTGACAGGACGAAGTCTGTCGGGTCAGCTAGTTAAAATATAAAATTATTAGCAAATACAAATGAAATTATGACAGAAATGTCCGAAATCCAATCGCAAATATTTGTCATCACCATCAAATAAAAGAACAGCAAACTTCAAGACACCAGTCAACAACCCCACAATCCTCCACCTAGGCGACATCAGACAAGACCTTTTTGTTGATATTCCAATAAAACCTTTTTTTAAATGTGTTTTAAATGTTGTTTTTGTTGAGAGAAGTCTTATTGGTGGGGGTATGTTGTTCCAACATTTAGTCGCCTGGTATCGGAAGGATCCAGTAAAAGCGACAGTCCTATGGGAATGAAACGCTAAGGGAGGCCTAGCTGATCTAGGTACACCGGATCCGTATCTATTGTCCGTATCCGTATTCATGTGATCTTCCAAATGTCTCCAATAATTTTCGTTGTACTCATTAAAATAACTAGTTTTACTTGAACGATAATGCATCTATTTCGAACGCATCGTTTAGCTTATAAATACCGAGTGTTGAACGTTTTCCGCGCCGTCTACCAATCACGCGTTCTCGCGCCATAATTCAAAAATAGAAGGGTCAAGGAGCCTCCGGCGTAGTCGGTGGCTCGTCCATAGTAATTAAAAATAAAAGCAATGTATAATTTGTAAGCAGTTTATGGTAGCCAGCCAGCCTGATGGCTGCATCTGCAAAACAACTAAAATTACATTTTGCATTTTGATCGGAGCGTTTCTGATTGAGTGAGGTCTGCTCGGATGCAGGTGGGAGATAAATATCATTCAGCTCGTTGTTATCTATCGCTGCCAATTTGGTGTTAATTATTAGTCTGGTTCATTTGTAATACATTTTGTCTTGTTCTTATAAAAATAAATCTTAAGTTTGCCGTCAAAAATATTTTATAGGAACTCACGTATAACAAAATGTATCTTTTTGTTTGTATTACACTAGTTTTTTTACCCGCGTATAATGTGATTTTTTTTTAAATAGGTGCAGTAGTTTCGGGGCTTATTCAATGCAAACAAATAGACAATCAAATCTTAGTTTACAATATTATTATTTTCCAGTGGGCGATTCGGTGCGATTCCTGGGTCACAGTAGTTTTTTGTTATGCACTCTCAACTCCTCTAGTCGTTAGAATGAATGAACTTTGAATGAATGAATGAATGAACACTTTATTGTACTTGAAAATAAAATCAACATAACAAATTAATAACAATAAACAGTACAATTGGCGGTAAATATGATATTTATGCGATGTTATAATGATATTTCTACGTAATATACATTGTAACCAATATTCTTAATTCAGTAGCTCGGTGGCGTAGTGGATAAGCGCGGCGGCCCACTATCGTTGTCGTTAAGCAACTTTCGCAAAAGTCGGTCACGGGATGGGTGACCGAAAAATTATTATCTCGAGCTACTCCGTGCTTCGGAAGGTACGTTAAGCCGTTGGTCCCGGCTGCATTTGCAGTCGTTAATACCCTCCAATCCGCATTGGGGCAGCGTGGAGGGTCATGGCCCATCCTCTTTAACCATCCATAAGGAAGGTCTGAGCCCCTGCAGTGGGGACGTAAA